TCTTTTCTGACATTTATTTTAAACACATGCCTCATAGTCAGGTTTAGCACTTAGCTGGAGCTTGCCCACATTCCTGCTGAAGCATATAAACTGTCAGGAAATTAAATTTTTGCTTCATCCTTTGTTTGATAGAAATGGAATCTTTGAGTAAGATGATACTTGAATTTCTTCACTTACACTTAAAATTTGGCTATTGCCTGTTTATTTTTTATGAAGTGTTAAGCTGGCTATGATGCCGTGCCCTAAAATACAAAGCACAGGGCATTGCCTGTTCCATGAAGCTGCCTGTTAGTGTGTAATGGGGAGGGCCTTGCTGGACTTTGTAGTAGGTGTAGGTAGATTTAGAAAATATACCTGCCATGCCATAATACCCTTTTGGTTTTTGCCATACTTATCAATAACAATATATTTATTGTTATTACCATAAGCATCAGAAGTTCTAGAGCTTTAGATTATATTTTTCTATAGCCTGAATTATCATAAGCCTAGACTTTAAAACATGGTCAGATGATGTCTACTGTTGTAAATTTGACTTAACCAAACTAAATTGCAATTTCCTTTAAAACAGTAGTGAGTTCTCAACTGAGGGTGGTCCCCCTCTCCCCAGGAATATTTATAAATGTCTGGAGACATTTTTGATTGTCACAGGTGGAGGCGTGGGAGAGAGGTACACTCCTACCATTTAGTGGGTAGAGGCTAGGGCTTCTGCTAAACATCTTATAATGCACAGGACAACCTGAAAAACAAAGAATTATCCGGCTCAAAATGCCAATAATGCCAAGGTTGAGAAACCCTGCTATAAAAAGAAAGATGATCCCGTCTGCACACCAAAGAACAGTGCAATATGAGTAATATTCTTAGAATTCTTAGAGTAAGTTGCTAAATAAACATTCAAGATTATAGGCCAAAATACCATTCTCCAATGGAAACCAGAATATGCCAAAGTAGAAAATGCATATTTAATGGGTTTAACTGAAGGCCAAAGAAGACAACTAAATATAAACACAGTGATATATGAGGACAGTCACAGCATTCACTAACTTTGCCACATACATACTTTCATACATACTTTGGAAGCTGACATACATACACATAAAAACCTCCTTTATACATGTATTAATAAAATGTATCTTACACCCTATCCATCAGGGCTTGGGGGCCCTGGCTGTTTACATTTTAAAGCTACAATTAGGAACAGAGGACTTCTCAGACAGGCTGTTGTTGATCCAGCCCCATGTTGTGTCTTTACTAATTGTATTTTATCAGTTAGTTTTTGCTGCATAACAAACCACCCCAAAACTGAAAACCTTTCACCAACAGACATTAACTTCATGTTCCTGGGCTGACTGGGTGGATGGTCCAGGTTGGGCTCGGCAGGTGGTTCTTCTTCAGGTTGGGGGTCTTGCTCTTCACTCTTGGGCTGGACTCGGGTTACTCCACGTGTATTCTTTCACCCAGGCTGAAGGACAGCAGGTACCCATGGGAGGTTCTTCTCATGGCAGGTGTGCAAGTCAGGGAGCAGAAACATGCCATGTATCTTAAGGCCCAAGCTCCAAACTGGCATGCTGTCACCTCTGCCTACATCACTAGCTAAAGCAAATCACATGGGCAAGCCTGACATCAATGCAGGGGGGAAATATTCTCTGCAAAGTCACATGGCAAAGAATGTGTAAATGGGGGAAGAAAATAATTAGGAACAATTATGCAATATTCTACAGGCATTATAATGGTTCCTTATGACATAATTTCAAAAGGCTAATAGGTCCATATACAGCAACTCTGTAACCTTGCAAATACCCATTTTGGCTAGTTCATCCATAAAGTTTTATTTATTTTATTTTAATTTTTTTAGAGATAGAGTCTCACTCTGTTGCCCATGCTGGAGTACAGTGGCCTGATTATAGTTCACTGGAGCCTTGAACTCCTAGACAAGCAATCCTCCTGTCTCAGCCCCTGGAGTAGCTAGGACTACAGGTGCATGCCACCACCACTACCAAGTCCTGATAATTTAAAAAAAAATTTTGTAGAGATGGAGTCTCACTATGCTGCCCAGGCTTGTCTTGAATTCTTGGCCTCAAGCAATCCTCCCTCCTTAGCCTCCCAAAGTGCTAGGATTACAGGCATTTGCCACCATGCCTGGCCAACTTATCTAACTTTTTAAAAAAGTTTATTTTATTTTTGTAATGTGATATTGAAAAAAATTTTATGTTAGAATATATGGAAAGTACCAAAGACTAACTTAAAGAAAAAAATTATTCATAATATTACAATCTATCGATAATTATTATTAATGTTTGGGTGCATGTACTTTTAGCATTAAATTATTCTACAGTTATGGAGGAGATTTTTGCCTATGTTGAGAATTCAGAAAATAATGAAAAGCATAAAACTTGTTTGAAATACTGCTACACAACCAAAATCTCTGTTATCATTTTTTTTGTAAGCACAGATTTTGCTTTACTTTATTGGGATTGCACTGTATATGAATTTTTCATCCTAATTTTTCTCACCAAAATACACATTAAGCATATCCCATGTCATTAAATATGTTTCACAAAGTGTTAACAGCAGTCAAATATTCCAGCATATAGAGATCTATCCAATCCCCTGTTTAAGCTATTTTTATCTTCATCTGTTAAGCCTCTTAAAATAGTGCTTTCTATGATATTTATAAAGCATATCCTTGAAAAACAAAATCAACAGGAGTATATCCCAGATGGCAATCAAATTCTGGTTTTATACAACTTTCACTAGCAGAAATAGTGAATAAATTGACTATTTCTAGTAAGGACAGGATAGAAACCAAAATTCACGAGGACCAATAAAAGTCACAACAATGTTTTAAAAAGTCTGTACCTGGATCTTTATTATTCTGGAACAAATAGTAATACTTGCTTTCCAGTGATCCTTTCCAGTGATTTTGTTCTAGGGACTGACAGTATGATAAATATTCCATTTGGTGATTATAGAGCTAGACAAAGATATATATTAAGGCTTTAAATCACAGAAATATGACAGTTCACAATTCCAGTTGCTTTCCATCATACGTTCTTTTAGGGATGCATGTGGAGTCTTAGGGAGCCACATGTATTCCTCTGGCCAACCACCTTGGATGGGGCAATGCATGTTGATGAGGCTTAAAGTGTTAGCAGGTGTGAATGGTTTAAGGCTTAAGCTTTAAATGTTTAACCCAACTAGATGTTCATATACTACAAACTGAAATTGAGTTGGGTTCAAAGAAATGTGCAAATCAGGTATGGACTGCCCTACCAAAGTTCTGCAAACTGGGTAGCTTAAAACAACGGAATTGTACTGTCTCACAGTTGTGGAGATTAGAAATTCGAAATGCAGGAGTCAGCAGGGACATGTTCCCTCTGAAACATGTAGGACAGAATCCTTCCTTGCCTCTTCTAGCTTCTGGCGTTTTCGGGCAACCACTGGCATTCCTTGGCTTGTCGATGCATCACTGCAATCTGCTCTGTTGTCACAGGGCCGTCTCCCCTGGTGTCTTTTCTCCTCTCTATAGGGACACAGTCACATTGGGATAAGGGTCCATTCTGCTCCAGTATGACTTTGTCTTAATTAATTACATCCACAATGACCCTATTTCCAAATAAGTTCACATTCTGAGGTACCAGGGGGTGAGGATTTCAACATATCTTTTTGAAGGGCACAATTCAACCCACAATTCCAGGAAATGGAAAGTTAAAGTTCTGAGTAATTGAAACCCAGAAGAGTGTTTGGTCTTATTTCTTCGCTGGAAACAGTGGATAAATAATGGAAACATATTTCTGCCATTGTGGAATGGCTTTAATTAATAGAACAGTGGAAAGTTCCCCTTTGGTCATTTTAACAACACATATTCTGTTTAAATTTCAAATGTCAACAATGTCACTCTGAGATATTCTGTCAGCGTTCCGAGAGCATGGCATCTCTACTTATGATGGTCACAACCTTAGTAAAGTAACCTCCTGAGTTAATTACTGTTTTCTGAGCATTTTCCAACTTTCTCTGAATTTCAACATTAGTGATATGACCCACTGTGTGATAGAGAGAGATACGGCGGCCAGAAAGGACAAATTTTTCAACTCCTCATACAACCCGAGATTTGGCTAATTGAGTCCATCTCAGTTGCAAATGAGCCAAAAAGGAAGAAGATATTTCCCAGAATGCGGCTTGATTAGAAAAGTCTGCCCCAGTCCATTTCAGCTGCAAGCCAAACGACAAGGTCCTGAATCACCAAAGAGAGCACCGCAGTTGTGGGTTTCCTCATGTTGCTGTCCTCATCATTCTTGAGAAGTCATTACTGGCCACTAGCAGCTTTCAGAAAGCAGTTACATAAACCCCCAAGCCCATTTATTGATTGTCATGTAATAAATCAGTGACAGAGAGGCATTATGGCTGAATTGTGAGTGCTTTATTCAATCAACTGTGCTTACAGAATACCCCTGGTAGTATGAAAAATATGTAGTATGTAAAATAAGCTCACTGGTGAAATGGATTTATAAAATATTCTTAGACACTTACAAAGGTTAAGATTCCTCTTAAAATAATTTTTCTTAACATCAGGAGTAATGAAAGATATCAAAATGACATTTTGTATAGATAATAGGCCTCTCAGGAGACTTTGAAGCACCATCTGAATATAATTTAATTAACTGCCCAATCCTTGAAGTAAGCACATCATTTCCAGCAGGAAAATCTGAGACAGAGAGATAACCAAGTGACTTTCTTGTGACCCTAAAGTATTGGATAAAGTTAGGATGCTTACTTATGATTTCTTTTACTTTTTTTTGAGACAGAGTCTAACTCTGTTGCCCCGGCTAGAGTGTCGTGGCGGCAGCCTAGCTCATAACAACCTCAAACTCCTGGCTCAAGTGATCCTACTGCCTCAGCCTCCCGAGTAGCTGGGACTACAGGCATGCGCCACCATGCCCGGCTAATTTTTTTCTATTTTTGGTAGAGACAGGGTCTCACTCTTGCTCAGGCTGGTCTCGAACTCCTGAGCTCAAACGATCCTCCCGCCTTGGGCTCCCAAAGTGCTAGGATTACAGGCGTGAGCCACCGCACTCGGCTCTTACTTATGATTTCTATAGTCACTAAGTACACACTCACAGAAACATGTACACAGTATGTGTACTGAGCATGTCTTTATACACCCAGTACTCTGTCCTGGAGGACTATCATGTATTATCTCACAGTAACCTTATGCACTGGGAATTGTCATCCCATTTTAAAGATGAGGAAACAGGGCAAGAAAGGTTAAGTAACTTGTCTATGGCCTCAAGCTAGTAAGTGGCCCAGCATGGATATGATGAACCCATGGGCTTATTCCAGAACTTATGTCCTTCGTCTGTCTAGTTTATCCCCATTTCTCTAAATAGTATCCTGAAGTTGTCTCTTCTATCCTTTCTGCAGACATTCTGTAGCTGTGTTTGCAGCCAATGCTCATTCCATAATTTATCACTGACTCAGGGTGAGTTTGGTTGTGTGAGCAATAAATTTAAGAATCAAGGATGCTACAAGCAGTGCCACACTGGATCAGAATAATCCATCCCTGTCATTGCCTTTGTTACAGATTGCTCGTGATGTCACTGCTGGAGGTCAGGTGAGGGCTGAAGGGGTTGGCAGCTCCGGAGCACGGGCTCAGGCAAGTCTGTGTGATGGGGCTGTTGTTTCTGAGCCCATCCTCGGAAGGCCAAGACTCTCCTAAATTGGATGCAGGTTGGAGGTGTCGGGGTGCCAAGTACCTCCCTGCATTCCTCCCAGCTCACACGAGCCGTTCTTCTTCCTGTGGAAAGCAGCCGCTGCATGCGTTTGGTTTGAGAATGAGGATTATGTGAGATTATAAATAACATCCCCCCCACCGCCACCCCCATGAGCATATTCCAGGAAAACATTTTGGGAGCCTAGAGGAAGATGAGTAAGTAGAAGCAAGCTTGGCCAGCTGCGACTACGGCCAAGACACGCATTGCAAAGTCACATCCTGCAATTTAGCTCTGCAACCGTGAGCTGCCGTGAGGACCACCGCTTCCCTGTGATTTGTTTCTAAAATGTATCATTTGGGCACAGAAACACTCTCCGCAGAAGCAATGCAAAACAAATAACCAAATAGCTGAGTCTCATGATTTAATTACGAGGTGCTAGAAAACTGTTTGGATGCATTCCTTGATGGGGAATGAGAGAGATGGGGAGGAATCGCTCACTGATACCAGCACCACTACATGGTTTTCAGGGCTTTCTCTTGACGTTTCATGGGGCGCAGGGATAACATTCAGCCTCCATGACCCACTGACCATGGAGAACTGGGGAAGGTGCTGTTCATTTCTGCTGCTCATAAAAGGCTTATGGTACTCTGATCCTTAAAAGTGAGGCCACAGCCCTCCGACAAAGCGGTACTCCTGCAAACGGGCGTACTCGGTGCCGAGCACACAGACGCCTCCTTTTCCCAGCCAGTCCTCCGTCCTTGGGGTCAGCTCTGGTGCTCACCATCGCCTCTGGCAGACCTCACCCTGATTACAGTAACTTCCCAGCAGGGACCAGGCCACCTCCAACAATCACAACACCTCATTAAACCATCGCTCGAGCCTCCTCTCCCACTTAGCCTTCTGGCAGGACTGTGCCAATAGGGAAAGCCTCTGATGGATTTTTAATTCTATTTCTTTTCCCTCCCCCAGACTGGGAAGATCTGGTGAGAGCTGGAATCTAGAGGGTCTAGAAACCCACAAGCTGTTAATGACATGAATGATCAATTATTGACTGAGCCGTGAGTGCTGACCCAGATTCACGGAGAGGGGCTGGAATCCCAAACCCTGTCTTGTCCTTAGCGCTGGCTGCAGTCTGAGCCGGGGTCCCTCATCTCCAGATGTCTCTGCTCTGCCCCCTGCGCCCCCGAGTGAGACGCTCTCGAAGCCCCTGCCAGGCAGGGTCCAGTTTCTGCCTAGCTCTCCACCTATTTCCATCTCTGCTGTTCTGCTAAGTCCTTTGTCTTAGGGCATTTACCCACCTTTTCAAGCTCCTGCTACCTGTGTTTTTCTTAGGGAAGCCAGCGACAGCTTCTGAGGATTTCAGAAGCCAGGTCGATAGAAAAGAACCAGAGAGTCAAAGCCAGAAGGCTGGGCAAGGAGCTGACCTGTGCCACGGCTTCTAACACAGCAGGAAGGGCAGGTAGCAGAGGTGATACTCGCTGATCTCATACGCTGGACACCAGCCCGCAGTTTCCATACCCAGAGTAGCTGGTCTTCCTGCCGCAACGGGGATGCTGGGGATGGTGATGACAATGATGAATATGCTGATGAGACTTTGCAAATAGCACCATAACTGACATGGGAAATGAATAGAATCTGATCCTTTCCTTCAACCATGGAGAGATCATTCAGCAAGTAGGAGATGCACATCTGTGACGGTTAACTGTAGGTGTCAACCTGATTTGGTTAAGGAATAAAGCAGGAACCTGTCTGTGAGGGTGTTTCCTGAAGAGAATAGTGCATGAGCCTGAGTGGGCTTGGTGGGGAAGACCCGCCCTCTATGTGGACGGTGCCCTTCCAGTCTGCCAGGGCTTGGAAAGAACAAAAACAGAGAGGAAGGGTCACGGTGTGTCTCTCTCTCCTGGAGCTGGGGTACACTCTTCCTCCCCTATCTTTGGACATGAAAACTCCAGGCTCCCCAACCTTTGGATTTCAGGACTTATACCAGTGGCCCTGGGTTCTCAGGCCTTTGGCCTTGGGCTGAGAGCTGCACCATGGGCTTCCCTGGTTCTGAGGCCTTAGGATGTGGACTGAGCCACGCTACCCGCATCCCAGAGCCTCCAGCTTGCAGACTTGTGGGATTTCTTGTGGGATTTCTCAGCCTCCTTAATCACATGAGCCAACTCCCCTAATAAATCCCCTCTCATCTGTCCACACACTGTGTATATCCTATTGGTTCTGTCAACCTGGAGAACCCTACTACAACATCCTGCATGAAGAATGCCATGGTAAACTAAATCAATCTCTTTTCTTCTTTATTCAACAGTCATTTGTTGGGAACGTATTATACACGAGGCCTAAATGACACATTCAAAGATCTAGGTTCATTGCTCTTAAATCTTGAACTTGAGCTTCAATCTCTGGACAGATCCTAAGCGGTCCTGAATTTTTTCTTGTAAATAATGTAGCAACATGTTCTCCTTTTGTTTGTATGCATACCCCTCACCCCACATATGCCTGAAGTTGTTTTTCTTGTTGTGGTAATGTCACGGTCTTTCATTTCCATTTACTCACCAAGATCCCTCTTGGCTCTAAGAATGTGCAAGACGGCAGCCCGGCCCAAGAGGTCAGCAGAGCTTGGGGCCCATACAGGGAATGCTCTAGAACCTCTGTGCTGTGAATCACCTAACTTGGCCAACTCATCGTGAATGGTCAGAAATCACTGCAGGACCATTTTGCGGAATGAATTCTGATTCATTTCCTCTTTCCTTACGGGAACTCGACAACTTGGTTGCAGGCAAAGCATAGGCTGCCCAGCTGGGTGATTGAGGCCACAAAGGATCTCTAAAGGTTTGATGGGGAACAGGACCTGTTAGTGGAACAATGGTGGGAGAACCAAAAATGTTTTCTGCAGGGAGAGTGGTCAGTGACTCTCTGTGCTTAGCATTTGTAGCTAAGTAGAGAGACAGAGCCGGCCAGCAAAGGGAGTGGCTAAGCACGGGCTCTCCCTGGCCAGGCGGTCTGCTCAGATTCCAGCCTCTCCACGTCCTGGCCATGCAGCTCTGGACAAGTGGCTGCCTTTCCACAGCCCAGCTTCCTCACCCATATAATGGGGACAATAATGCTTACCTCAAAGGCTTACTGTAAGGACTGGGTGACACGACATTGGTAAATCACTTAGAATGGTGCTTGGGATGCAGTGAACAGTCAATGAAGAATTGCCAGAATTGTTGCTGAGGCACATGGGTACAGATGTGACCATCACAGCAGCGCCGGGACTGTGTTCTCACCAGGAGCACAGGAACTTCACAGAGCAGCGAAGAATGTGCGTATAATCCTCAGTCTGGCAATAGATAGTGGTATCACAAACAGGATAATGGCCCTTGTGGTGACATCTGCACAGCCATAGGGAAGAGACCCTGCTCATGGGAACATAGAAGGTGATAAATACTCGGGGAAAAGGGTTTCCAATGTGTTTGAGTCTCAATCTGATCTCAGAGGGAAAAAAATCTCTTTCTTTACACTGAGTTTTTTATATCAAAGGTCCCTTTACAGGAATGACAGCATTTTGAAAGCTTATGCTAAATCTTGCTGTTTTCCTTAAATCCCCTAAACTGCTACTCTAAGCTTTCTTAACCTTGACCTTATGTTTCAGGGAATTCAAGCCAGGAGAAAAAAAAAAGCCAACCTCAAAATAGTTACTGAAGGCTGCACCTTTCATAATGCTGCGATGGCATCCCATTAACAAGCTACGGCCGGCAACTTTCACACTTTTCACAAATGTCTCAGTTTCCAGAGGGCTGGTCTAATGCCACCCGATGGGTGGGGTTTCCTAAAACAACGACACAGCTTGGCCCAGTCTGGCTTATTAATTGCTCACAGCATTGAGAGCAACAGTTTGACCTTAAGAGAGAGAAAATAGTTTTCAAAGGGACTGTTTAGTTTAGGTAGTTTAAACCACTTGCCTTCTGACCTTTGTCTTTGAGACTTGATTGAATGTTGATAGTGTTTTTGCAAGAAGCGAGAAATAAATAAATACGGAGCTGTGGAGCTGTCACAAGTGGTACAGCAGCTCCTCAGAGTCACGGGGATTTTGTGCTTTGGGGTCAGATGCAGGCATCTCCAATTACAGTGGTCTTTTTCAGAATGCTGGTCTTTAGTGCTGGCATTGGGGGGTGGGAAGTAACATGCTACGCCTGAATTCTGGTGGTGATTCCACTAAGCCACATTTGTGTCCAACAGGATCGCTTCACTTCTCAGTTCATTCATCTGTAAAAGCGGGATCTTAGATTCAGGGACCAGCTGCAATGAGACTGATGAGTGGTAATCTCAGACTCCTTGGTCCTTGCTGTGCTGTGTTGTCCCTGGAAGGGCAGCTCACCATTCATTTGTTCATTCATTCATTCATTTAACAGAGATTGCCTGCAATTATTAATCAACAAGATCTACCCTAAAGGATTTAAGGGAAATGAATAAGCTTCCTGGTTCATTCTTTTCTTCACCTTCCCCAAACCTGCTCCCAGATCCTTGTGCCTTACTAAGCTGACAATGACAGATAATGGCTTAAAAAGAAACTCCTCACAGGACCATTTGCTTTGATTGGAAATGACACCTTACAGTGGATTTCCAGAAAAAAAAAAAAAAAATCACACCAAGTAGGAGGCATCCTGAAGGCCGTCTGGCCTGTCTATAGATTTTCTTCACCACTGAAGAAGTTCTTCCCCTCAAGTGTTCTCCCTGATGCCATCTGCAGTCAGTGACAGCTGCTCACCCCACCATCACCTTTGTTGAGGAAATAACAAACTGGAAAAACCTTTTACAAATTTGAATCACTGTATGCCCACCCATTCACTCTTTCCCCATGTAATATGGAAAATAACTTTTTTCATATCTCTTAAAAACACCTAGAAATATTGGAAGCTTAATAAGGCAAAGTTGCTCCCCTGCTTAAGCACCTGCTGTGGTTTGGATACTTGTCCTCTCCAAACCTCATGTTGAAATCTGATCCCCAATGTTATACGTGGGGCCTGATGAGAAGTGTTTGGGTCATGGGGGTGGATTCCTCATAAATAAATTGATGCCTTCCCTTGGGGGTGAGCAAACTCTCACTCTATTAGTAACCGAGAGAGCTGCTTGTTAAAAAGAGTCCAGCACCTTCCTTCTCTCTCCCTTGCTTCCTTCCTTACCATCTGATCTGCACATGCTGGCTTCCCCTTCACCTTCCGCCATGAGTGGAAGCAGCATGAGGCCGCCCCAGGTGCAGATGCCCAATCTTGAACTTTCCAGCCACCAGAATCGTGAGCCAAATAAACCTCTTTTCTTTTATAAATTAACTGGCCTCAGATAGTCCTTTGTGGCAACACAAATAGACTAAGGCGGCATCACAGTCCTAATAATAAGAATAATAAACACAATTGAGTATTTATATGCCAGGTAGTGTGCTAAGTGTTTTAAATGCAGTGAGTCATTTAATTCTCACACAAGCATTGAAGGTAGATATGGTTATTACTAATTTTAATAAACTTTATTTAACCCAATATATCCAAATTATCAATGTAAAAGTTATCAACACAAAATTTTAATGACATATATATTTTCTTTTATTTGAAAGAATTTAGAGGGTGCAAGTGTTTTTTGTTATATGGATGAATTGTATCATGCTGAAGTTAGGGCTTTCAGTGTAACTGATAGGTATTAATAGATTTTTATCCCTCACTTTCTTCACACCCTCTCCCCTTTCTTTTCAAATGTCCATATTTACACCTCTTTATGACCCATATATCCTTTTTGCTCCCCCTTATAAGTGATAATATGTGGTATTTGTTTTTCCATTCCTGAGATACTTCACTTAGGATAATGGTCTTCAGTTCCATCCAAGTTGCTGAAAAAGATGTTATTTCATTCCTTTTTATGGCTGAATAGTACTCCATTTGTGTGTGTATGTATGTGTGTATATCTGTATCTGTCTATATCTTTATATAGATATATGCACATATATACACTACATTTTCTTTACCTACTCATAAGTTGATGGGCATTTAGGTTGGTTCCATATCTTTACAGTTGTGAATTATGCTGCAAAAAACATTTGGGAGCATATATCTTTTTGATATAATGACTGCTTTTCCTTTGGGTAGATGTTCCGGCCCGCGGGACCTTCTGTTACTCTCGGGGGCGAGGGGTACCGTGCCTGAAAGAGATGGGCAAGAGAAAGAAACGAGACCAAGCAAAGGGTTGTCAAGGTCTACTTTACTTGGATTTTTAGTAGGTTTTATATACAGAAACAAGGAAGTAGAAACAGAAAAATAGAGTGGGGGGATGATGAGGCTTGGGTGTGGGCTAATTAGCCCCAATTAGCATCCCAATGGCACCGAAAGCTGTTTGTGATGGATCACTCAACCCCAACCTGGCAGGGGGTCGGGAACAATTGCAGGTAGCATGCCCTGGAGCAAGCATGGCATGGAATGCATTCTTCTCAGAACTATAGCTGGGGGGCTGGGTGCTATTTTAGTCTTAGGCTATTTTCCATGCGTAGGACAAGTCAGGACAAGTCGTTGGAATGTGGAGGGTCTTAGTCTCCAACATCTCCCCCTATCTTTATTAATATGAGGGAGATTTACACAGGTTGGTGGAGAGCCTGTCTTAGGCTACGCGATGGGCTTCCGCAACCAGCACCCAAGCAAAGGGTTGGTCAGGTCTACTTTACTTGGATTTTAGTAGGTTTTATATATACAGAAAACAAGGAAGTAGAAACAGAAAAATAGAGTGGGGGATGATGAGGCTTGGGTGTGGGCTAAGTAGCCCCAATTAGC